TCCTGATATTCAGCTCTAGAAAGCCAGAAATTATCTCTATTCTTGCAGACCTCAGCGAGCACAGCGCCCCCTATGAACACCATGTCCTTGCGCCGCGGCGGGTCTTCGATTCGAATCTTGAATTTCTATATAAATAAAATTATGTATAGACAATGTTCTAAACTATGTCAAAAATATGCTGTAATTGCTGACATCCTACGCCACGAGTGAATATGTCTTCATTATATTACTAGCTGTTCTGGTGCGGCTTCATCCAAATGAAATAATACTTTTAATTGTTCACATTTGTCAAATTCTCAATTGTAAATGTCTTAATTACCGTTACCATAATAACCTTGCTTCCTTAATGTTGGAAACATTTAGTTAATGGTCCCTTTCCCACATGAAGGTTTTTCCAATGTATTTACCCCTCAAATAGCGTGAAAATATATAGCCTAAAGCGTGTAAAATATTCAAAAATATGCTGTAATTACTGACATCTTAGGCAACAAAGAAGTGTATGTTTACACTTTATTATATTAGTATAAACAGATAAATGAATAAATAATGTTTCTACGTCAGTTTATAAACTCACGGCAAGCTTATCGCAGTCATTCCTCAGTACTCTCTCCAAGTATAGTTGTTTGATCTCTCTCTCTAAGCGAGAGGGTAGTCCGGGGTACATAGTGGAACCTCCCGACAGTACTATATGCTTGTATAGTTCGTTGCGCATGTCTATATCTGCAGCCTGGAACAAAGTTATAATGTGTAAACTAGATGGCGTTGGCATCGAATTAAAACGCGCTATTGTATTGTTATGTGAATTATTTAGTTTTTTTCTAATAATCAAATATATACAAAAATACAAATCTTTCCTCTTTATATCAGTATAGAAAAAAAATTACCTGTATGGTGTTAAACACCAGCTCAGCGATCCCTTGACCCTCGACATTGATGAGATGAGGTTGGAACAGCGCTTCCGGAGCCTCGAACCTCTCACCACCAACCTTGATCACTCTGCCATCGGGTAACTATAAGAAATGTACTATTTACTACCAATCTACCAAAATAAATCTCATTGACGACATTCTTGAAAAGAATACCAACTAAATGCCAATTAATTCTACAAAATTAGTCAAATCGTTTAGGCTATAGGTAGAAAAAAAATCCTTTTAAAAGTATTGTTTAATTTGTAAAACATTATTTGTTTTTTTTTTTAAATTAATGCCATCTATTGGTACAGAAAAATGTGTATTTATCTATACTTTTACACTAATATAATAAAGTGTAAACACACTAAAAAACCTTCAAGTGGGAACGGGACCTTAATACACGCTGCCAACATTAAGGAAGCAAGGTTATAGTAACGGTAATTTTGACCTAAACCCGTCAAAATGGCGAAGCGATAACTGCCCATAGACATCCGCAATTGTATATGCGTTGCCTACCCTTCATTGACGGAGGAGACGCACATAAAGAGGACATTACCTTTTCCTATGCGTCTCCTTCACCTTCTAATCCATTTTCTCATCCAATTCTTTCCTTATAAGAAAAGGGTGGAACAGGAAAGGGACTAAAATTGGTCCTCTGGCACCACACTCATCAGACTACGCAACTTGCTTCCACTTCACGCCTGTCTGTGGTCGTGGTATTGTTGGGGGCGAGCCGGCCCTACAGTGCGAAGATGTTAAAGCGGGCTCTACCACCGTCAGTATATAAGTTAAATTTATTTATTTAATATATTTCATTATGTGTACAATAACCCTTTTAGCTGTGAATACAAGGTATATTTTTGTTTGTCAGGTGATTGACAAGTACGGTTTCGTCAGTGCGTATATAGCTATCTAAACATTCGCATTTATATTAGTATGATATTACGATAAGTATATTAAAGGAAGTTTGAGAGTAACCCCAATGGTTGAGAAAGTAAGGAGTAAAAGGTTAGCG